TCCAGCCTGGGCAACAGAACAAGACCCTGTCTCAAAAAAAAAAAAAAAAAAAAGATACAAGTCAATAAAACTATAACTTTTGAGTTAACTTCTCTACCAGAGAGAGGGGAAAAAACTCATACCTTACCAAGTTTTACAAGTTAACATCTATTAATAACTTTTATGAAGTCACATTTCCTGAGCAGTATCACCTTTAAGTGGGTCTATTAGAAAATGTCTAATGTGATTTTAGAAGGCCACTTAGTAGAATTTTTTGCCTTTTGTTCAATATTTGGAAAATTTTTTTCCAGTATAACATCTACTACATTTATAACCATATAATTAGATGTGGCAAAATACAGGACAAAGACAAATAATATGCTCGATCTCCGTACCAGTCCATTCTGGGTGAACCTGAGATAAAGGATAAAAAATCTACTCTAAAAAGCATCCTGGGGACGCAGATCGATGAGTAAGAGCTCAGTGTTTAATGTTGTAGATTTTCCAAATAGAAGGTTACCTAAATGCAAGCCAACAATTAAATGTAGTGCTGGTCCAAAGAAACATAATCTGTTTCAATACTGGTGGAAAAAATGGCCAATTTAGTTCCCAAAAATTGCTAAGGATTTCCAAGGCTAGCTTTTACTGTTTTAAATTTTGGCACCCATGCTGAATTTGGAATCCCTGCAAACCACAAAAAGAGACCCTCTGTAATACTGATTTTTAAACTGATTTTTTTTGAGGAGGTAAATACATGTGCTATAGATTTCAGAAAACACAATAAGGTTGTAGCAGACACCTATCAGGCCCAGATTTCCTTTTCTGATTTGGTCCCTTAGCTGCTCTGAAGGTTAACTGCTAATTGCTCAGAGCTGCCTCCTTTTTTAGAGAATTTCCCTGGCCAATAGGAGCTACCTCTCCCGAAAGGCAGCTCATAGCCAATGACTGACTAAGACAGGTACAAAAGCCTGGCCCCTTTGTCTCCAGGTAGAACCAACTTTATGGAACTATTCACACTCCAGAGCCCTTCAGGGTTTCCAGCAGAAGCTAGGCTCCATCTAAGACTACATCCTTGCTTGATTTTTGATCCAGGCCCTGTCCTGCTTGCTTCACTCCCCTTAGAAGAGCACAGACTCAAGAATCTCTGTCTCAGGCTCTAATTATAGGGAAACTGACATAGATAAGGACATAGTGTGAAAAATAATACTCCTTCTTGTGTCTTTCCTTCCGCCACCCAGTTCACTAAGAGGGGATAATCAAGGTTGCCAGTGTTTAGGGTAAACTTCCAGAAATATAAAAAGCATAAATGGCCGGGCGCGGTGGCTCAAGCCTGTAATCCCAGCACTTTGGGAGGCCGAGGCGGGTGGATCACGAGGTCAAGAGATCAAGACCATCCTGGTCAACATGGTGAAACCCCGTCTCTACTAAAAATACAAAAAATCAGCTGGGCATGGTGGCACGTGCCTGTAATCCCAGCTACTCAGGAGGCTGAGGCAGGAGAATTGCCTGAACCCAGGAGGCGGAGGTTGCGGTGAGCCGAGATCGTGCCATTGCACTCCAGCCTGGGTAACAAGAGTGAAACTCCGTCTCAAAAAAAAAAAAAAGCATAAATGTATAATAACTGTATTAAATATATGGTTTTCTGGATTTATTTCTGTTTTATACACAAATGGTATCATACACTATCACTGTCCATTCCTTTGCCCTTTTATTTGTTACTGTATCTTGGAGACAGCTCCTAACCAGTAAACATAATGCTGTTCCTTTCGTAAAGGCTGTTGAATATTCTGTTGTATGTATCTACTGTAATTAAGGTAATTGGTCCCTTAATTATGTACATTCAGGTTATGTTATGCTATCAGATAATAGGTCTTATTCATTCTTTCTATTTTTTGTGCCCATTAACCATCCCCACCTCCCCTCAGCTCGCCAATACCATTCCCAGCATCTGGTAACCATTCTTCTACACTTTATGTCCATGAATCCAACTGTCTTGATTTTTAGATCTCACAAATAAGTGAGAACAAGTGATGTTTGTCTCTCTCTGCCTGACTTACTTCACTTAGCATAATGATTTCCAGGCCACAGTGGCTGGATCACTTGAAGATAGGAGTTCAAGATCAGCCTGGCCAACATGGTGAAACCCCATTTCCATTAAAAATACAAAAACTAGCTGGGAATGGTAGCATACACCTGTAAGCCCAGCTGCTTGGGAGGCTGAGGCACAAGAATCACTTGAACCTGGGAGGTGAAGGTAGCAGTGAGCCGAGATCAAGCCACTGCACTCCAGCCTGGGCAACAGAATGAGACTATGCCTCAAAAAAAAAAAAAAAGCTACTGATTGTTGTATGTTGATTTTGTATCCTGCAACTTTATTGAATTTGTTTATCAGTTCTAATAGTTTCTCATGGAGTCTTAGGTTTTTCCAAACATAATATATCATCTGCAGACAAGGATAATTTGACTTCTTCCTTTCCAATTTGAATGCCCTTTGTTTATTTCTCGTCTGATTGCTCTAGCTATGACTTCCAGTACTATTTTGAATAACAGTGATGACAAGTAGGCATCCTCATTGTGTTCCACAATGATTAAAGGTTTGGTAAGTCTTCAGTGAAAATGGCTGTGTCAGGATGCTTTTTGGGGAGAAGCTCTTGAATGTTTACCCCCCACTTTTTCTATGATAATCAGTCTATTTATATTTTTTAGCCATTGTGAGGTCAGGTTTTGTAATCCCTCAATTTGATCCAGGTTGTCAAATTTATTTTTATACTAATAAACCAGGTTGTCTCTTCTGAATCTTTAAATTTTTCACATATCTATATTTAATTCCCTCATATAAATTTTTATTTTGCATGTTTATGATTCTACTGTTTTCCCTTAATGAAATTAAATAAATTTGTTTTGTTTTTTAAGAATTAAATTTTAAATGTATTTATTAGATATATCATTTTTTCAAAGTTTAAAATTTTAGTTTTTATCCTTATTAAATCACTTATTTTTATTTCACTAACTTATTTTCTCCTGGGTTTTTTTTTAAAGACGGGGTTTCGGGGCCGGGCGCGGTGGCTCAAGCCTGTAATCCCAGCACTTTGGGAGGCTGAGGCGGGTGGATCACGAGGTCAAGAGATCGAGACCATCCTGGTCAACATGGTGAAACCCCGTCTCTACTAAAACTACAAAACATTAGCTGGGCATGGTGGCGTGTGCCTGTAGTCCCAGCTACTCAGGAGGCTGAGGCAGGAGAATTGCCTGAACCCAGGAGGCGGAGGTTGCGGTGAGCCGAGATCGCGCCATTGCACTCCAGCCTGGGTAACAAGAGCGAAACTCCGTCTCAAAAAAAAAAATAAAGACGGGGTTTCACCATGTTGGTCAGGCTGGTCTTGAACGCCCGACCTCAGGTGATCCGCCCGCCTTGGCCTCCAAAGTGCTTGGATTATAGGAGTGAGCCACCACGCCCGGCCTCTTCTGTTTTTTATAATGTCTTGATTTGAACATTATGACTTTGCATTTTCTTCCAAGCATTGCTTTATATGTATCTCGAATATTCTACTATGTATGTCCTCATTTCAAGTTCCTTTTTGATCCAAAAATTGTTTTTTTGATTTGTTGGTACAGTTTTGTTACTAATTTCTAATTTAATTTCATTAGGCATAAAATAATGTTGCCAAAGACTAATGTTGCCTATAATATTTCTTTTTATTTATTTATTTATTTATTATTTTATGCCCACGCTGGATTGCAATGGCATGATCATGGCTCACTGCCACCTTGACCTGCCAGACTCAGGTAATTCTCCCACCTCAGCCCCTTAAGTAGCTGGGATTACAGAAGCATGCCACCACACCTGACTAATTTTTGTATTTTTTGTAGAGATGGAGTTTTGCCAGGTTGCCCAGGCAGGTCTCAAACTCCTGAGTTCAAGTTATCCTCCTGCCTTGGCCTTCCAAAGTGCTGGGATCACAGGCATGAGCCACCATGCCCAGCCTGATTATTTTATGTCTACTATTATATTTGTCATGCTTTGTAAAGACTTCTTGGACACATGAAAATGTATCTTTGTTTGGAGGATATAAAGTTATATAGAGTTACATAATTAATTGTTTACTAGTTAGGTCTTAAGATGTTTACATCTATTTATTAATTAAGGCTTTAGGATGTTATTAATTAGAAGTTACCTTAAGATGTTTAAATTCATGGTGGAGGCCAGGTGTGTTGGCTCATGCCTGTAATCCCAGCACTTTGGGAGGCCAAGACAGGTTGATCGCCTGAGGTCAGGAGTTCGAGACCAGCCTGGCCAACATGGTGAAATCCTGTCTCTGTAAAAAAAATAAAATAAATTCATGGTGGAAAGACACACAAAAAAACATATTTTAAAAGATGTTTTTCAACAGACACTAAGGTCTACTTGAGGTGGGTGGGTGGGGGTAGGAAGAGGAGGAGAAAAGATAACTGTTGGATACTGAGCTTAATGAGTGATATAATAATACCTACAACAAACCCCCATGATGTGTTTATCTATGTAACAAACCTTTACATATACTCCCAAACCTAAAATAAAAAAATTTTAAAGATATTTTTAATACTCTCTTGTTGTAGACTGTTTCTAGTATTATAGGGACAAGAAAAAATATTGCTGTTTGAAAAATTATAGTCATAATTTTTGTCTTTCGCTTTATAGGTTATTAAGGAAAACAGTACAGCTCTAACAACCAATAAAGCGAAAGACAATAAAGTGAAGACTGTTAGCTGATACAAAATAACCAACATTTTATAGTATGGATGATTTAGGAGTAATGATGATTGATGATGTACGGTTTTATTTTTATTTCATTTTTTGAGACAGGGGCTGCAACTACCTGGGGCGGTTATAACATGGGAAATGGCGACCAGCAGGAAAGGGCCTGTTTTGGTGCTGAGGACTGAGACATGAGATGGCAAGCAACACAAAAGGTTGGGTTCAAGTTGTGGACTATTCAGGAGTGGACTTAAGATACTCTCTTCTGGAATATATTAAATAGTACAAAACCTTGAAACAAAAAGTGGCAGCCTGCTAATCCATAGGTTGGTATAATCTGTCCAGTATATATGTTGTAAATAATAATAGCTCCATGCTTTATTGAGCACTTGCTATGTGCCAGCCATTAGGCTGAACTCCTCTCTCTCTCTCTCTCTCTCTCTCTCTTTCTCTTTCTCTCTCTCTCAATAGATACATCATCTATATAGAGAGAGTATGGATGATTTAGGAGTAATGATGATTGATGATATACAGTTTTGTTTTTATTTTGTTTTTTGAGACAGGGTCTCACTCTGTCACCAAGGCTGGTGAGCAGTGGCACAATCATGGCTCACTGCAGCCTCAGACTCCTGGACTCAAGCCACAATCTCGCTTCAGCTTCCCAGTTAGAAGAGACTATACATGCATGTCAATATTACCTGGCAATATATAGTGATATTCATTTAATTATCACTACAACCCCATAAGGCAAGTGCTAATATAATCACTATTTTACAGATGAGAAAACAGAGACTTAAAGAATCACCCAGGGTGGCACTATTGGGATTTCAAAACGGGCAATATGACTCACAACTGGGTCTTTCAGGTATGAAAAACTAAAGAGACTTCCAGCTGTGGACAAGAAGAAATACACACTTCTCATTCCTCCCACTAAGGATAGCTAAAAACCCTGAACATTATATGTAAGACAAATAAAAGGTGACTCTGAAAGATGGAGGAAAGAAAATATAATCACTTGGAACCTCAGAACCCCAAAAATGCCATGCATTGTTTGCCCTGGATTTTTCCCCTCCTTGTATCCTCACCTGAGTACTGGAGAAGCTGGCAACCAGAAATGCCGACAGACATAAACAAAAAAGGGGGAAAATGCCCAAGAAAAAAGCCTGTTATTTCTCACCAAGGGACAGAACAGAAGAAACCTAGCAAGAGAGAAAACTTAGACAATAATCGTCCTACTGTAGCCAAATGCCACAGGAAAAATTGAGGTCTCCATCCCCACCCTTGTCAGCAACTTAGAGTCCTAGACTTAAGGAGCCTAGACTTCCACCCTCACCCAGCTGACATGAGGCATTCCTCCTCTCTTCCTTCCCCAACGCTGTGATGGTGTCAGAGAAGACCAGGTGGGGTATGCAGGATTGTCATCCTAATCATGCAGTAACAAGCCCCTCCATTCTCCACATTTTCAGGGGAGGCCATGTGAAGAGCCTGGATTTTTGCTTCCACTTGGCAGTAACAAGGCAGCATCAACCTTCCCCTGACTGCTGCAGTATCAGAGGAAACTTGCTAAAACCAAAGATATAAATAAGATCCAGAGTCTCATAACATAATAACCAAAGTATCCAGGATTGCATTTTAAAAATCATTCATTATCCCAAGAGCCAAGAAGATCTTAACTAGAATGAGAAAAGATAATCCACAGATGGCAACACTGAGACGGAACTGTCTGACAAGGATTTTAAATTCATCATACAATGAATCGATGAGAAATTCTAAACATGCTTGAAACAAATGAAAAGTGGAAAGCTTTGCTGAAGAAATAGAACACATAAAGAAGAGCCAAATAAAACCTTTAACTGAAAAAATACAATAAAATAAAACTCGCAGGATGGGCTCAATAATAGACTAAAGAAGACAAAAGAGTAAATCAGTAAATTTCAAGTTAGATCAATAAAATATAACCAGCTTCAACAACGTGAAGAAAATACACTGAAGAAAAAAATCAACAGAACCTCAGGAACCTGTGGAACCTTAACAAAAACCAATCAGTTGTATTATCAGAGAGGAGTGAGAGTGTGGGATTGAAAAAGTGTTCCACAAAGTCATGGCTAAAATTTTCCTAAATTTGGCATAAGACATAAACCTATAGATTTCACAGGGTAATTGAGCCTTAAGCAGAAAACAACAACAACAAAGAAATATAACCAAGACACATTATAATCAAACTTTGGAAAACTAAAGACTGAAAAAGTTGAAAGCAATAAGAGAGAAATGATGATTTACCTGTAGGAAAAAAACAATTCAAACATCAGATTTCTCATCCAAAACTATACAGGCCAAAAGGAGGTGTCACAAGATTTTTGAAGTGTTTAAAGAAAAGAACTGTGGGCTGGGGGTGGTGGCTCACTCCTGTAATCCCAGCACTTTGGGAGGCCAAGGCAGGTGGATCACTTGGGGTCAGGAATTCAAGAGCTGCCTGGCAAACATGGTGAAACCCCACGTCTACTAAAAATACAAAAATTAGCTGGGCGTGGTGGTGCACACCTATAATCCCAACTACTTGAGAGGCTGAGGTAGGAGAATAGCTTGAACCTGGGAGGCAGAGATTGCAATGAGCCAAGATCACACCACTGGACTCCAGCCTGGGCAACAGAATGAGACCCTGTTGAAAGAAAGAGAAAGAGAGATGAAAGAAAGAAAGAGACAGAAAGGAAAGAAGGAAGGAAGGGAGGGAGGGAAGGAGGGAGGGAACTGTGAACCCATAATTTTACATATGGGCAAAAATAGTCTTCAGGAATAAAGGTGAAATCAAGACATTCTCATATTAAGAAAAACTAAAACAATCTGTCACCAGCAGACCAACCCTAAAAGCATGTCTAAAGGAACTCTTTAAACAGAAACAATTAGAGGCAATCATGAAACATCAGGAAGAGAAAAGGAACAACAGAAAGAGTAAAAACGTAGATAAGTACAACAGACTTCTCTTCTTGAGTTTTCTAAATTATGTTTGATTGTTGAAGCAAAAATTATAACACTGACTAATGTGATTCTCAAAATATGTAGAGGAAACATTTTAGACAATGTATTGTCAATGAAGGTGGGTAAAGGGAATTAAAAGGAGGTCAGGGTTTTATACTTCACTTAAATCGGTAAAATGTTGACACCAAAAAATAAAATAAAAGGCTGGACACAGAGGCTCATGCCTGTAATCCCAGCACTTTGGGAGGCCAAGGCAGGCAGAGCACCTGAGGTCAGGAGTTCAAGACCAGCCTGACCAACATGGTTAAACCCCGTCTCTACTAAAAATACAAAAATTAGCCATAGCCAGACTCGATGGCCAGTGCCTGTAATCCCAGCTACTTGGGAGGCTGAGGCAGGGAGAATCACTTGAACCTGGGAGATGGAGGTTGCAGTGAGCCGAGATTGTGCCATTGCACTCCAGCTTGAGTGACAGAGCAAGACACCATCTCAAAAAATAAAATAAAATAAAATAAATAAAATAAAATGCAAATCCAAATAATACAAAGAGAGTGGTAAATTATGCCAATTCCATTTTTTTTAATGTAAACCAAAAAGCTTCTTTTGAAATGGAGATGTGAAAGACTCCATATTACTAAATTGCTTCATATGACAATGATAAAGCATCTTCATACTATAGGCAGCTTATGGCTCAGCCTGTTTTCATGATCAGCTTTATGAGACTTTAATGCACTCAGCTGACAATATGCAATAGGCAATTATGGAGAGGGCATTCTCCCACCTTGACTTGAGAACCCACATAGCTCTGGCAGCCCGGGAGGTAGTAGGGAATTCGGGAGAAAGGACTCTTCTTGGCCATGAACTCTTCTTGGAGAACTCAGTCAAGGAAGCTGATGAGAAGCAGGAGCAGAAGAATGAGAGTAATTTTGTCCCCAGCATGTGAGACAACACCTGGAGAACTGTGAGAAAATACAGGGCGTATAAGCAGAGATTAGGTACTTCAGTGGATAGGCAGAGGCTCAAAGTCATTGTAGTTAGAATACTAAAGAAAATGTAGCCCTTTTTTTTTTCTTTTTTTTTTTTTTTCTTTTTTTTTTGAGACAGTCTCCCTCTGTCGCCCAGGCTAGATAGAGTACAGTGGTGCAGTCTATGCTCACTGCAGCCTCCACCTCCTGGGTTCAAGAGATTCTCCTGCCTCAGCCTCTCAAGTAGCTGGGATTACAGGCACCTGTCACTATGCCCGGCTAATTTTTATATTTTCAGTAGAGATGGGGTTTCATCATGTTGGCCAGGCTGGTCTCAAGCTCCTGACCTCAAGTAATCTGCCTGCCTCAGCCTCCCAGAGTGCTGGGATTACAGGCGTGAGCCACTACGCTCGGCCAAGCTTCATCTTATTTTTTTATTTTTTAAATTTAATGTCCAAAACAAGTCCTGCTTCTTCTTTTTTTTTTTTTTTTTAAGAAAGGGTTTCACCATGTTGGTCAGACTGGTCTTCAACTCCCAACTTCAGGTGATCCGCCCACGTTGGCCTCCAAAGTGCTTGGATTACAGGCGTGAGCCACCACGCCTGGCCAGCTTCATTTTATTTTTAAGTTTAGTGAAACTTAGGCATATAGGCTATTGTTGCATTCTCGGAGGTCTTATATGACTTGTTGTTCAATTCTAGGTAGCTAATTCACTTCTGATGATAAATCGTTTCTAAAAATTATAAAAAAGAATTTTTCATATTCCTTCACTACCTCTATTCATTGTCCAAGAGATGTTACTATTTTATATTTGTTCCTAGTTTTAAGCTGTACTCTCTCAAGATGTATTTA